TATATATATATATATATATATATGTTGGGAAATGAGATACATGCCACATTATTCATATTTATTTGCATATTTATAACACTTTGATATTAAAAATATATTTGGTGTATTTTACTTATAAAAGAAATTAGTTATGGTGATATTTTAAATGTGATGTCAAAAATTTGAGTGCTATGCGTATATCTATAAAAGTCTGTGTTAAATATGTGTATAAAAAAGAATTGTGTGATACATATGTAAATGCCCCATTTTTATTTCAAATTAGAACAAAAATAACATAAAAACAAAGCAAGTTAAAAACAAAAATTAAACAAATAAGGATAAATTGAACACAAATAAGATTGCTATCAAAGAAGATAAAACTAAAGGTCAAGAGTCATGGATGAAGATTAAAGATGAGAGAGAATATGGTACTTGAACAAAAGACTCAAAAGAGACCAAGAGAGAAAAATAACCAAACTTTGCCTGGAAAAGATATAAGAAAAATATATTTGATTAAATTTGTCCTAAACTGATCAAATGTAAGCCTTGAATCCCTAATCAGAAATAAGAGATAAAAATAATATGATCGTCTACTGCTTTCATAGAGTAAGAGTTTCATGTCCAAAAAATCAAATTTCTTCTTGAATAAATTTGATTTTAGTAGCAAATACATACCAATTCTATTTATTAGTTGAAAACCTAACGCTAATATTGATCTTGAACAACAGCAATCAACATCTAAATGATTCAGAATCAAAACTAGAACTATCCAAAAAAGGGTAAGTAATGCTATTTTCAAATAAAATAAATACACAATTTTACTTTTAATAAACATTTGAAATAAATTCTAAAGTAGCATATCCTAATTTATTCTGTTTCATCAATTTGCCCATAAATCTTTCATTAAAAGTCTAATTTCGATGATACAAATTTGGTAGGGATAAGTTCACGAACATCTTTGTTATTAACTACATATATATTCTAAATATTGAAAAAATGATTTGGAGGGTTTGCATACAAATAAAATCATAAGTCAAATAATCTCTTAGTAGTAGCATAAAATATCTCTTAACTAAAATTGTATGGAGAGGGCGATAGTGTAAGAAGCTGAGGAGCAATGCATCTATATTTATAATGTTGGGAAGTTAATTAATTAATTATAATTAATATTTTCAGTCATGAAGGAGTTTATGTTCCATTTTTAGTTTAATTTACTTTAATTTCAGTAGTTCATTAAGTTGTTTATATGCAATGTTATATAAGATATCATATTATTATTTTTTTATATAAAACCACTAATGTATAATATACATACATAAATACAAACGAATGTATATGCATGTATAATATCAGTTTTTTTTTACACACTCCAATAAAAATAAGATGCTCTGAAACTTAATAATTTCAGACAATGAAATTAATATCATCTGAAAATAAGGGCGTAATTGATACATTATTAATAAAATTTCATCATCTGTGTAAGTCTCGATGCGATTTTTGAAGGAAAAAATATTCAAACCTCGAAAAAAAGGTCATCCAAAACTCTGATTTCAACAAACTTACAGTCAAAGTGACCAGCTCGACAAGAACCCAATGTTACCAAAATTAGTCCAATCGGAGTCAAATATTTTTCCCAATAAAAAGGTCAACATAGTTTTAATGTATGAGCTTATATTTGATATAAAATTAAATACATTATTTTAGGGGTGTAAATGAGTGGCATATAGGGCATTTAATGATCCGATTTATAGCTGAGCTCGGGTCAGCTCAAAATCTACTCAAAAAATTTAATACAAAATTTTTTGCTTGTAGCACGGCTCATTTATTTTGATCCGAGCCAAAATTCAAACCAACTTTCGAGCGATTAACGATTTTCGAGCTGACTTCGCAGCCCTAGTGACATATATGTAAAATTAAAGTGTAGATGTTAGATGTACGCATAAGAATTGAGTGGTATGAATATTTTATATCACTTCAACATTATCTTAAAAATATGTTGATTTTAAAGCAGCAACCTGGGATACCATCATACTTATACTTCACAATGTAAAAGGACATTACATTAGCTGTTCATCACCTGTACAAATAATAGTTGAAATTCATGAACATGAAAAACGACATCCTTCGTTAAACAATCAAACAACTATAAATTTTGAAGAGGATTCAACTATATTCCACATTGCACATCCCCAATCCAGTTTTCTTTGCCCCCGATGGATATTTCTTCTTTCCCACTCTTCTTCTTCTTCTTCTCTGTTGTTTGTTTCCTCCAAGTTCACGGACAGCTTCCGCTGCCTACTACGGAGCAGCCTATAACTGATCACTCTGCCGCCATTCACCATCACCAAGTCTATATCGTTCATGTTCTAAAAACAACTGCCAAAAAATTCCATCTTTTCAAACAAAGAAAGGACTGGTACAAGTCATTCCTCCCTAACGACACCCTCTTCTCCGGCGAGCCACGCCTGGTGTACGCTTATCGCCAAGTGATCACTGGATTTGCGGCATGGCTTACTCAAGGCGAGTTAAAAGCCATGGAATCCATGGATGGGTTTCTCTTAGCCAACCAAAATTTTCCTCTCCATCACCGCACAACATACACACCCGAATTCCTCGGACTCGATAGATCGCAAGGCATGTGGTATGAGACTGCTTATGGGCAAGGCCAAATTATCGGAGTCATTGATAGTGGGGTGAAACCCACACACCCTTCTTTCAGCGGCCATGCTATGCCGCCAGCTCCTACCAAATGGAGTGGCACTTGCTTTTGGGGCAAACCAATCTGCAACAACAAACTCATAGGCGCAGAGGGCTCAAGGCGTGCCTCACCAATCGACACTGAAGGTCATGGCTCCCACTGCGCAGGCGTCGCGAGCATTGCGGCCGGTAACTTTGTTGACGGCGCCAATGTCCATGGTGAAGCTCGCGGCACTGCCTCCGGCATTGCACCAAAAGCCCACCTCGCTGTCTACAAGAATGCAGGAGCGGGCGATTTGCTTAAATCTATTGAAGATGCCATGCGTGGTCATGTTGACGTGCTGTCCATATCCCAAGGTGATAGCCCGGACTTCTACACCAGCGGTATTGTAAAAGGTGCATTTGCCGCAGTTACCAAAAATATCGTCACTGTTGTGGCGGCGCCCAACTCAGGCCCAACTGAAAGCAGCATGCAGACCGATGCCCCATGGATGATAACCGTTGGCGCTGCCTCCACTGACAGAAGAATTATGACCATTGTAAAGCTTGGTGATGAACGAGAGTTCCTTGGTGAATCTGCCTATCAACCGAGTGATTATGACTCACCAATATTGCCGCTGATATATCTTTTTAGATGCTTTGGGGAGCACCTTATTGATAACGATGTGATTGGAAAGATAGTT